AGTTGAGGCAGAGGAAAAAAATGTGTTTTTGCTAACCTAATAATCTACATTTAGGTATATGTTATTTTAGGGCAAATGTCAACAGGTTGTGGATCAATTCCATTCAGAATAGGACCAAAAAAACCCCATTGAAAATAATTCATAACAGTATATAATCTCCATTTGCTAATACATTCTTTGTTGAAAATGACTATCGGCCCTCTAAAACTTATTTGGAAGCGAGGACTTCAAGGTATTTTTAGACCTAGTTAAAGATGCACGAGACAACTGTGCTGCCAGTCTAAGGCAAAAATCAGAGGAACGCTAGGACTCAAAGTTGCCATTTCCTCTCTGCTCTTTCCCACAGCTGCTTCTTTGCCTGGTGCTCCACTCCTCAGACATCATGTTTGCCAGCCATTTTTCTGGGTTAAAAACAAACTCAGAACTTCAATTGATCTGCAAGCACATGGGTCAAATCCTCAGATAACCACACCATTATAATCCTTTCGTGTTATTAAAGAAGGAAGTAAAGTATCCTAATGCCTTTCGAATGCCAAGCCCTTATGAACAAACATCACGTCATTTGATGCCACTTATTACCCTACGATGGATGCCCCCACGTCGCAGATAAGGTGGGAGAACTGGTCTCCAGCATCTGCTCTGCGAGCCCTCTGCTGTGGATAACATCAGGAAGAAGGAGTGCTAAACATTTCACCATGGGTACTGTAGCAGCATGGCGGTCAGGGCCCAGGACGTTGACCAAGACAGGTCAACTGGGTGCTGCTGCCTGCGTTTGGGGTTTGCAGCACGAGGCACAAAGATGGAAGAAGTTTAGACATCTTTTGCCTCGGTAGCAGTGGAAGCCACGTGTCCGGCGGTGGCACTCTGTGGCAGTGTCCAGCCATGGGACCTCCCGGCCACAGTGTCCTGCTGAAGAAGGCTGGTCTTCCTCCATGAACCTCTGATTTTCAGTCAGATTTCAGAATCTGATTCTCGAGGTTCTGTCAGTTCTGGAGGCCAGAGGTATTTCTTCAGTAAATTCCAGTTTGGGTTGAGAGAGCTAGAAGCTGGTGTGGTTTTCGTGACCAGAGAGCCTGACCCATCTGTGAGGAAACAGACTCCAAGTCTTGTTCATGGACCCCAGCTAGCAAGTGGCCATGTTCTGGCTGAGAAGCTTGTGCAGTTTCTTTGATTTCCTGCTTCCCAAAGAATTTGAACGAATTCGAGAAAAGGAGGGAGCATGGTGTACAGATGAAGGCAGGGCTTGGAGACTAGCAGCTCTATGAACACTTACCCCTAAACCCACATTCAGTAATACACCCTAAATAAGCGGGTTCTCCTCTGTGCCAGGGACTCTGCTAAGTTCAAATATCATCTCAGTTGACCCACGCAACAATATGATAGGGTGGACATTATTTTCTCCATTGTTCAGGTGGGAAAACTGAGGCTCGCAGAGGTTTTGTCCAAGTTTATATTATAATAAATGTTCGTGTTGAACTTAGGTCTCCTGACAAAGAAGCTGGAATTCATTCATTAAGCCATAGCTACCTCGCTATGAAATTTAATCAATCGATCGATAGTTCTCCACTGCCAATTTTCCATTAACCCCTTTGTGGCCTCCGCACCACCTCGTCAACGTGATCTTGTTGGCATGCTTCCTTGCGTATGGTTTTACAATTGTGTCCCAGAGTATGTCACCTGTCTCTGTTCTTTTAGACTGAGAACCTCCAGAGCACAGGACCAGGCCTCCCCAGTGAGAATATTCCTTCCTGCATACACATCTCTGATGTCCCTGCAGGGCTCCACCATGGCAGGCCTGGGGCTGAGGTTCATTGCCTGGCCAACTGAGAGAGAGGAGAGGACCGTATCTTGCTACAGTGCTTACAACTGGATGGGAGCCTGGACTCCTCTTTGGTTCAGCCCTGCCTGCCTCCACCTCCCCTACAGCTTCAAGGGAAATCACGCTTTTGCTTACTAGACTGTACAGTGGCGTCGAAGATCTTCATTAGCAGCATAAAGACCAGATGTCTTGCGGTCTTTTGAGACGGAGCCCTTGCCCAGACCTGGCTTACACTGGCCAATGAATACTTTGTCATTTGTGTTTTGGAATTAAGAAAACGCAGTTCGGCACGTTTCCTACCACCACAGGAGCAGTGAATTGAATCGGTGCCATTGTGAGCTTGATTGTTGTTGCATAGATAAAACCCTCATTGAGTCCCTCAAGAGAAAAAAAGAATTTTATTTTGAAGGGTGGGGGCCTTCTTGCTTGTCGACAGTTACAACAACCAAACAGTAAATGGAGGAAATAATGAAGTAACCACACGTTCCCCCCCCCAAACCTTGCGAAGAGGCTGGGTGAGTTTTTAATTAGTGCTTCGTTTTCAATAAATCTGTATCTGTACATGGCGCTGATGCTTTCCTGGATAAGGGAAAGATAATAATGAGAATCCTATTTTTCAGTCCCACACTAAAGGGATGCCTCGTATATTTAATCATGCTGTAGAAATCCTGGCAGCTTTCTCTGAGCCCAGCCTCTGCTCTAATTACATTTCTAGATTTTAGTAAATTGAAAGGGAAAATGTAGGAACAAAATAATTAAAACCGAAGAGGAAGTGCATATTAAAAAGGAGAAGCTGTTTAAAATTCTTCCACACAGTGTTTCCAAGGACATCTACAGGCATTTAATCAGATCCACACCAAATCAAAGCCCTTTGTACAGAGGCTGGTGGATCACATCTCGGGTGGGCGGGATGGTCCTCACAGCAGAACGGGAGCCTCACTGCACCAGGCTACAGATGGGGTAGGACTCATGTCCTTCCAGAGCTCTGGAGGTTCAGGGCCGGCGTGGACAAGCTGCTAGCACAGATTCACTAGCCCTGAGGAGTTCCTTCCCGGGTGCCAGGCAGAATCTGACTACACCAGATTGATTAGCCCCAAGTGTGAGGTGGCTAAACTATGCGGTTCCTGCCTCCAGTTTCCTTTTTCTGCACCCCTTCCCCTTCTCTGTGCTCCTCCCTCCAAGGGGTACCCTTTTTCTTTCTTCCTTGCCAACCTGTGAACTCTGAAGTGAAGAGAACAGGAACTGAACAGCCTCAGTGACACCAGGAGTCAATTACTTGAACTGGGTTACCTGGTTACCCACGGGGCACTCTAAAGATTTTCATAAGAACCAAAAACCTTGCTGGCTTCAGCTAAAGGAATGAATTGTTTACTGAGGATGAGGATGAGCAGAACCTCACTGGAAAGTTTCAAGCATCAGCCTACTAGGTGACAAAAGCTCTTTTTGTTTTAATCAAGGTAGGCCCAGCACTCACATCATGGTGGAAGTTAGGATCTCCATTTTTGATCATGTTGTCTGAAATACAGTTGGAGCAAGCTCTAGGAGCTTAGAAGGCTTTCCTAGGACGTTCTAAATTGTGGGATTGTAGGGCATTCTCGTGTACTTGAAAGTGGAAGGCAGCCTGGCTCCATCAGGGGTTTCTTTCCAAACCCCTGTGGCTTTGCTCATGGGCTCTCAGCCTTCCCTAATGAACAGATTCACCGGCCACCTGGCGCCAGGACGCATGTGGCAGGAGACAAGTGAGCACAGTCTCCTGGAGACAGTCCCATGACAGCAAAGCTTCCGGAAGCTGTTCCCAAGGCAGGACACAGCCTTCATCACCCCATGACCTGCAGGCTCACCTGGCTGCTCTTTTGGGTCCAATGCCTCTGACATTTGAGTGTGTGTATCTGTGTAATGATACTATCTCAGTGTGGAAAAGAGACAAAACCTACTCTGGATTATTTGGCTTGACCCTGTAGGAACAATTTTTGAAAGTTTAAGCTAAAGGAAAGGATCATAGCAATAATAAATATCCCATCGGGGCCCCTGGGTGGCTCAGTGGGTTAAAGCCTCTGCCTTCGGCTCAGGTCATGATCCCAGGGTCCTGGGATAGAGTCCTGCATGGGGCTCTCTCCTCAGTGGGGAGCCTGCTTCCCCCACCCCCGCCTGCCTCTCTGCCTATTTGTGATCTCTTTCTGTCAAATAAATAAATAAAATCTTAAAAACAAAACAAAACAAATATCCCACCACTGACATTATCACTCTAACATGGGGATGACCTCCCCCCCCC